TAGCAATCTATCTACCTATCTATATAACTCTATAGTTTGTCTGTCATTACGCATATATATGTAGCTATCTATCAACCCATCTACCTATCTGTCTGTCCATCTGTCACTATCCATCTATCTCCCTACCTACTTACTTATCTACCCATCTCCCTACCTACCCACCCACTTACCTATCTACCCAAACAATACATGCTGCAATCTTTTCGTCCTTGTATTTTAACTTTGTGCTAATATACGCCGTCCCCTTTACACCTCCTTTACTGCATACGCATTTTAGAATAGCTATTGAACGTTGATAAAAAAAAATGTGGGTCTTTTCAGAGCTCATAATAGCACTCAGGAGGTGTGGGAGGGGGCGGGGGTCTTATCAGATAAAGGAAGGTAGACTTCTTTGTGTGTGAATAATATTTTTTCTCTCCTTTTTTACATAACGATCAGATGGGGTAACGCAATACGGTTTTCAAGAGGGAACTACGTGGGCCGTGGGCTTTGGTATTCCCTTTGATAATGTAAACTTTGTTTTTACGTATCAATTTATAAAGATCAGCGTTCTTCTCGGTGGCGGGAATGAGTTCTGTCATTCCCAAATCTTCATGGGTGAGACAAGCCATTTCTTGAGGACCATTGTGCCTGACCCTAATGTCGAGAGCAACGAGCCTAAACAGCTTCAGAGGCGCTTTGAAGACAAAGCTATTAAATGGGTGTTTGGCCATATAATTAGGTTTATATTAGGCATTGAATAACACCAGTCTGTTTGTTTACCATTATTCAAATAGCAATAATAAGAAACAACAACTGCAATGAGCTTACAATCCACCTGCTGAAAGTTTTAAGGGATGCAGAATGAGCCTTTTACCAGTGTTTAAAAAGAACGCTTAAAGTGAGGAAGTCTTTTGTCTAAAGTATGGCAGCTTGGTTTCTTTTAACAGTGATATTCATTTTGGTTACGGTATGGCACAGAATTCTTCCACGGAGAATTCGTATCAAATACCGATGTTTAATGAGTAGAATTAGCAAAAATCCACAAGCAAAGTGCCATCCTTTTATTATGCTAGTAAATGATAGTACTGATTTTTATGGATTGTCTTGTATATCATGTTTAGTTACTACTTTAACATATGGATGATATTTTCAGTCACAGAATATGTAATCAAAAGACGAAAATATTTAGAGCTGTGAATTTTATGCATGTGGTATAGCTATAACAGTAATACTGTATAAGTTTTGGGCAAATTTTAAAAATGTGTAATATTCATTTCAGTTAGAGACCTCTATGGAAAATTAACGTTATTAAATTTGCATATTAGCATTGCTTATATTGATATGAGTGTTTATCTAATACTGATTTGCTGGTTGTTAGATTTTAAAAATATTATCGTTGCTGTTTTCGCCCTTTTTTCAGTGATTTCTGCTACAGGAATTTATTTACAAATTGTAGGAATTTGAGACGATGATGATATGATTTTCTCTATAATCGAATATCTCTTCATTTCATTACTTTTCAGTTTTCTAAATCTGTTTGTAAATTGACATAAGCGAGCTCCTTTGCAATAGAATTGAAAATAATGATAAAAAATAGATAAAGCGAGAAAGGGAGAAGGGTGAGGGAGCGAGGGAGGGGAAGCTAGAGAGAAAGAGACAAGAGATATGACGTACGTGCGTAAACACAAGTGGGCAAGAGCGGTGACATAGCAAGTGTCAAGAAACGCCCCCTCGCAGAGATAAGATGGCCAGACAAAGGACTTCCCAGAGCACTACGATTCTAGTTACCACGCCACGCCAGCACCACGACGCCAAGTCCCGTGGGTCGCTCGCCGTCGCCGGGATATATACGATGGTCCCCCCGCGCCGCTGACCCGAGTCCTCGGCCCGCCCGTTCCGTTGACGAGACCCTTCGCTGCAACAACCGTGGGTCGCCGTTGTTACTCGAATGCACATACCGCTGCCGTGATAAACCATGACCATGAACTGCAAGTTGCAATTCGTAGTTCTGCTTGCTATTCTTGCAATGCACGTGGGTTGGGGAGACCCGTTGCCGCCAAGACGGATGCCAACTTCGAAGGAAACCCGCGTCCCGGGATCGAGGGCGAAGGAAAATGTCCGCTCTGCTGTCTTGAAACCTCAGCACGATGCTCCGTCTGTTAGGCAGGCAGTCCCCTCTCCTGCCTCGGGTCAAGGACCTTCTACCAGGAAGAATGCCCTTAAAGCAGGCATTGTTATTTGCAACCTGTGTCCACTGCCCGAAGAGATTCTCCCGTGTAAGGTAAGTAAAAGACGAACATGTGAGATTCGGTAATCTTTCCGTAGCTGTTAAACCAGAAGAAAATTTTGCTCTAGATTGCCGTGCATTTCAGACAACTTTCACTTTTGTCTGTGGATGTGAACGTCCGATCCAGATACCCATCTTCCCTCCAATTTTACTACAAGGAGAACAAAAAATAATTTCATATATTCCTGTTTACGTGTTAGCACCAAAGATCAGAATAAAATGGAATGAAGTGATTGTCACTCCATAGTTAGCTTTTTGAAATTGCAATCGAAGATATCAATACTAAATTGCATCTGTTTTCATATCTTTTATGCAAGAACGATTTAGATTTAGATGATTTAGTGGTGGTATCAGAGGTTTGCCGACTCTAATGCCTGATATATGTCATATGGATGACAAAACGCTTTGCTAACACATTTATAATTGAAAAGCGAAACAACAGTTTCGAATCCCCCCCCCTCTCTCCCTCTCTCTCTCTCTCTCTCACACACACACACACACACACACACACACACACACACACACACACACACACACAAGAATGGCCGTTTATATTGTCTAACCACAGTGCTCGCTTCTGAAATACAAAGAAAAGCGCGTGGTCTTCATCCAGCAAAATTCTATTCGTTACCTATCCTATTCTCGAAAGCTCCTCTAAAGCAGCAGGATCCGCTGTGACAAAAATATAAATGTGTGCCATGCACCAGGGTCTGTGTTTAAATATCGTATGCAGCAG